ACGGCTCTATTTTGATGGAGCCTCTATAAAAGGTGTTTGGATGGCTCAAGCTCACTCTCTTGGCCATTTGCATTGACATAGCAACCTTGTGAGCTTAGACAAAGCCCTCCCACTCATCTCCATCATAAATTCATCATCTTTGTGAGATTGGGAGTGAATCCAAGTGCATTGCTTGAGTGATTGCATCTAGATGCACTTGATGTTCGTGTTTTGCTGCGCGATTTGCTTGTTACTCTTGGTGGTTGCCACCACCTAGATGGCTTGGAGCAGTGAGGATCATCGAGCGGAGGTTGATAATTGTCTCTGACTCTGATTATGGTGATTATGAGGGGTTCTTGATCTTTTCCCGGTGAAAAGCCAAAATGTACTCTAATGGATTGCTCATGGCTTATGTGATCCTCATCTTATGTTGGTTGTGTGGCATCCTATTGAGGGTTTGGCGTGTGATGACAATTAGCGCGTGAACCTCCAAGTGAGTGAATCGACACAACGAGAACTAGTTTGCCGGCAAGCAAGTGAACCTTGGTAAAAAATCTTGTGTCATCTTATCCGAGGATTTCTTGGTATTCATTATAATTGATTGTGGTTAATTGGCTCCATCATTGTGATTGGCTGAATTTCTCTATACGGCGGTATAATCATCACATCCCCTACCTTGCATTTACATTTTTAATATTGCTTCGCTCTTTAGTGTAATTAGTTTTGAGAGCAAGCTTGTGTCGGGTCTAGTGGTTAGTGTGGTTCTTTAGTTAGTCTTTGAGAGCACAATAACTTAGTGTAGTGACATAGCCATTGTGTGCTTAGAGATCATAGACACTAGAATTATGGTAGGTGGCTTGCTTTTTTAGTAGGCTAACGCAACACTCGCTTCGCCGTTTAATTGTCTAACATATTTGCTAAGTGTTGTTGTAGAAATTTTCAATAGCCTATTCACCCCCCTCTAGCCATTAGGACCTTTCAATCGGCCACTAAAACCGATATCAGTTAGGCCGCACACATCGACCATCTCTCGGAACGCCGCAATATGAGCTGCACTTCTTTCTTGAACCCCAACATGTTCCGAGCGATGTAGAACTTTATTGAAATCACCAATACAAACCCAAGGCAAAGGAGATGATGATATGATGAACTTGAGCATGTCCCAAGTCTTATGTCGCTTACTCAATTATGCCTCCCCGTAAACACATGTAAGTCTCCAAGGGTTAGTGCCCCCCCCCCTATGTAACAATAGCATCGATGTGATACTGTGAATACAGTAATAAAGACACTAATATTATTATTCCAAAAAATTCTCAAACCACAACTACAGCCATTACTACTGACAGCTAAAGCATTATCATAGCCGAGTGTCCTTTTCAAGCCCTCTACCCGTGATTTGTGCACCTGAGTTTCAAGAACACACAAAACCATAGGAGCGACACTCTTCGTGAATTCCTGAAGCTCTTTGACTGTCGCGGCATTGCCAAGCCCGCGACAGTTCCAGCTCAAGCAACTCATGGGGACAACAGATCATCCACATCTAGATCGCCACGCATCACTCCTGCCTTCGAATTTTCCGCCGCCATAGCGTCGCAAGAACCCTAATGGGTGCACAGCGCCAAGGCCGGGAAGTTGAGCTAGTCAACCCCTTGATCGGCCCGAACGCACAGCACCCACCAGGGTCGCACGATGCCACTCGATCGAGGCCAGAAACCCTCAACAACGGGAATCGCCACCCAAGGTCGCCAGACCCTAGGTGTTCCGAAGTGTGTCTGCTGGGTCGAGTTGTCTGGCCCAACTTTTTCACGGGAAGCGTTAGAGAAAAATCTGACATGACGAGAGCATTTGTAGTGCAGAACAGGAGAGAGCGTTACATGCCAATTCCTTAGGCCTTGTTTAAATCTAGGGTGTAAAGTTTTGGGATGTCACATCGGGTGTCACATGAGGGTGTCGCATGGGGTGTTTGGATACTCAGCTTGTTCGCTTGTTGGTTTCATCCAGGGCTTATCAGTCAGCCAACAGTGTTTTTCTTTCACAACAAACCAGCACCAGCCGGGCTTATCAGCCCAGAAACCAACCAGCGAACAGGCTCACTAATAAAAAACAAATTACAGAATTCGTCAGTAATCCGCGAGACGAATTTATTAAGCCTAATTAATTCGTCGTTTGCACATGTGTTAATGTAGCACCACATTGTCAAATCATTGACTAATTATGCTTAAAAGATTCGTCTCGTAAATTAATCGCAAACTGTGCAATTAATTATTTTTTTAGTCTATATTTAATACTCCATGCATATGTCTAAATATTCGATGAGATAGAAAGTAAACTTTAGGGGAGAAGAACTAAACAATGCCTTACTTGCTTTGTAGAGATTCCAGAAGTGTAAAAGGTACTAGTGCTATGCACTATGCAGACATGCAACTAAACTAATCCAACGCCCAAAGCCGAAAGATTACCACAAACTGTATTACTCTTCACTTGTTGATTCGGTTGGTGTGCTGCAAAGAAACAGAGCATGGATTGTTTTTAGAACTATAGAAGTTGTCACGCATAATCAATAGAACAAAGCCAATTCGAAAACAAACATGTCTCAAACGAAGTCCTGAACTTCTAATGCTCATCATGCCTAAATTAGATAGATCTAACATGTAGGAGTGGCCAATGGCAAAGGATTCAGAATTCTTTCACAGCCAACACATAGTATATGATGGGCGTGAACATAGCTAACTGGACGCATATCAGGAATTAAGACAGCCACTTCACTGGATTAATGATGGATGTGTAGTAGGAACTAAAAAAAATAGCCATTCTTAATGGAAAGACAAAACAGAAGCATGCAACCAGAGGAAAGATATCTAGTGAACCATTAGAGGCAGCAAAATTTTCATGTGATTAGTAAATATAGGTAGCCTTCGGGTTCTAGTTTATACTACACGACTAACAAGAGGAATAAATGTGCAAAAGAACAAACAAGCTCTGATGTGATAGCAACATGAAGGAAATAAAGATCAACAGAGGCAAAGACTTCATTTAACATGCTGGTATTAGTCACAGTTCGTTAACTCTGCTCTGCTATATCAGCAGTGTTTGCAGTTCATGGTACTAACCTTGGCTGGCAACATCATCCGCGGTTGTGTCTCGTATGAGAGCGAAAATGTGTCGCGGTTCAGGTTTTTGTTTCCTTTGCCACCGTTCGATCGGAAACCAAAAGCAAACGACGACTCTGATCGTGCACGACGCGTGCATCCATATGTGTTTGACTTGTTATATGCAACAATTATCACATATTCGAACGAACTGACATAGAGTATATGCAACAATATAGACACGGTAAGGGCGTCTTTTTTCTGCCGGATCGGCCCGTTCGCCGTACCACGATGGCTTTCGTTATGCAGCTCACGGGACAAACGTCCAGCACGCACTGCTCGGTTGGCTGGTGTCATTTGTTAAGCACGGACAAGGACAATGGCTAGCGTATCGCTTCCAACCTTCACTCCTTCAGCCCGATGTCGGCCTTTTATCAGGCAGCAAATGGCTTTTTCACTTTTGAGTAACTTCTCACGGCGTCCACGGCTAAGAAGGATCAATGTAACAAGGCTGCAACGGTGACCCGTGGCCATAATAATCCATATACGCATGACCGCCACTGTTCCCTGCATCCTTGAACTTCAGTCAGCGCCCGGGCGAACGGCGGACGTGTGGATGAAATGAACCATGACCACCTGGGAGGAGCACTGGAGCAAGCTGCTGGCCGTTGGCCGCATCGGCAGCCGTGTAAAACGCCAAACCGTGCACGGCGGCAACAGGACCGGGGCCGGGGCCGGGGCCGGCGAGCATGGCAGACGAGACACGAGGGTAGTACCCCGTACGCCTCGTCATCGGCGGCAGGTGACTCGGGGACCAGCTCCCAACGATCACACGTACGTACAGTACAAGCTGTACGTGGATCCGTCGCCCCCCAGTCCAAGCTGGCAGCTGCTCAAGGTTCATACACATACGACGATGCCCTCTCACAACCAGGCCAGCGCCAGCGCCAAGCAACACGCGACCGACCGGGCGCATGTTTCGCCGCGCCCCCACGCGCTTGCGACAGACAGAGCCTGAGAGCCATAGGATTCACAGTGCAAGTCTCGAGCGACTGCCAGCAGCGAGCTCGACCACGCGGTCAGTAATAAGAAGATGGCGCACTGACAGGCTACCTCGATTGCTCTGTTCCCCACTCTGCCCCCTTGGCTCCTCCCTCCCGAGTTCGTCAACCGACGCATGCCTTTGCCGACGCTGTCATGCTGCACGGTGGCGTAGTGGAGACTGGAGTACTACCCGGCATGCGCTGCACGGTGTGTCAGTCAGTTTAACAAATGGCAAATGCGAACGACGGTGGGTGGCTGAATGATTTGAGGATGTATCATTGGGCTTGCTCCGTTTCGTCAGCTTTTGGGAGCAGCGGAACGCGCGGCCACGGCCCGCCCAGGCCCCTGGGCCCTGGCCACCCACCCGGCGGACGACGCGGCAGCAGTGTCCCTCGTGGTACCGAGTTGCACATGTTTCTGCAATGGCGCATGCGCGGCTGCGTTGTACGTGCGTCGCGTTTCGTGTCACTTCTGTCGGTACCGCTACAAGTTCCTGTCGCGACTCCCAAAAACTGTCGGCAAGAGAGCACCGGATCTACCATCGTCAGTGGCGTACTGTTACAGCAGGTCACAGAAACTTCTTATTCGTCTTCGCCTGCATCTACCTAGTACAATGCGCAGCATGAGACGCGTTTTACTAGCGACAAGGCACAGAGACTGATGCGTGTCACGCATGAGAGTAATGCTTATGCAGCGCAAGGGTTTCTTCCCCGCAATGCAAAAGAAAGCACAAAGCAGCAGGCAGTCCGTCATCCATACATAAATAGAAATAAATTATCAATGTGTTGTACAGCAAGAATGATTCGTGCATCCATCCATAAACAAACAACAGGAGAACAAGAACGTGCGAGGAACGGTACGGACGTACAGCGGTAAGCGCAGCTCTACTTAAAACAAGGCGACGAGCCCGGCGGCCACCAAGGACGACACCAGAGCGGCGGCGTCGACGCCGGTGCGCGAGCTCGGCGCCGCCGACTCCTCCTCCGGAGCCAGCGCGGGGCCCGGCGCCAGCGACGGGCTCACCGACACCGAGCTGAACGGCGCGAGCGTAGGCGCCAGCGTGGGAGCCGGGGTCGGGGCCTCGGTGGGAGACGGGGCGGGGGCTTCTGTCGGCGACGGGGTCGGGGCGATGCTTGGAGCCGGAGACACGGGGGCCGGCGCGGGAGCCGTGACCGGTGGCGCGGTGGGAGGCAGGACCGGGGCAGCGAGAAATGGCGTCGGAGCCATTGCTGGAGGAAGCGTGGCTGGAGGAAGCGCCGCTGGTGGCATTGCCAGGGGCGGGGAGGCGACTGGAGCCGGAGTCGTCGGGGTTGGCGCGGCGACGGCGACGGTAGGTGACGCGACGGGAGGCTGTGTCGCCGGAGGTAGCGTGGCTGGAGGGGTAGCAGAGACAGGTGGCGTCGCAGCTAGTGGCGGGGAGGCAACCGGAGGCAACGTGGCAGCCAGCAGTGGAGAGGCGGCTGTGGTCGGCGGCGCCGCAGTAGGAGGTGCGGCGGAGACCTGCGGCGCGGAGGCTGCTGTAGTTGGCGGCGCAGCAGAGGCCTGTGGCGCCAAGGCTGCTGTCGTCGGCGCCGCGGCTGAGACCTGAGGCGCGGAGGCTGCTTGTGTCGGTGCCGCGGCAACTGTTGTTGGCGGCTGTGCGGAGGCCTGCGGCGCCGTGGCCGCCGTTGTCGGTGGCGCGACAGAGGCCTGTGGCGCCGAGACCGCCGTTGTCGGTGGCGCTACAGAGGCCTGCGGCGCCGAGACCACCTTTGTCGGTGGCGCGACAAAGGCCTGCGGCGCCGAGGCGCTGACCGGAGGAGCCTTGGACGCGGACGGCGAAGAGGCCGGCGACTGCGCGGCGCAGGAGACGACGAGGAGCGAGAGCAGTAGCGGGAGCAGAGCCATTGCCATCCGCTCCCTCCCGAACTCGTTCTCCTTCTGGCTCCCGGCCTCTTGTCTTCTCGCTCGGCACAGAAGCTTCCCTCCCTGTTGTGGTGGTTGCCCCGCCACTGTGTTCCCGACCTGAGCAGCGGAGTGCAGTGGGAGAGCTCCAGTGACGATGCGCCCCTATATACAGGCCCCGTCTGGCACAGGTCAGCTTCACCGTATAAACTGTTTCGTTGCAAAATAGTTTCACGAGAAAGGCCTAGTTTAGTTGCATCCTAAAATACCAAATTTTTCAAGATTTTCCGTCACATCAAATCTTTGGACGCATACATGAAGCATTAAATATAAATAAAAATAAAACTAATTACACAGTTTAGACGAAATCCACGAGACGAATTTTTTAAACCTAATTAGACTATAATTGGACACAAATTGCCAAATAACAACGAAAACGCTACAGTAGCGTTTTGCAAAAAAAATTGGCATCCAAACTAGCCCCAACTTTTTTTTAAGTAAAACTAAGTGGTTTTGTAACAAGTGTTTGGCAAAACAGCTTCACATGATATAACAATGAATAGAATGACTATAATATGGGAGATGAAGCTAGGATAAACTATTTTTTTCAATTTTCTCCCAACTCATCTATGTGAGAGAAGGAGATAAAGCTATTTTAAAAATAAATATTTAGTAAAAAAACAACTCACAATAGCTGATAAAACTGTTGTGAGCTATGTCAAACATGTCTATAGCGTGCTCTCCTGATGGTGCGTGTAAAACAGAACGCTGAGCTGACAGTGAAGGCCCGCCCGATCCAAGGAAAGAGAAAAAATGAGGCCGTGTTTAGTTTCTTCCTATAAAATTTAGTCAATATTTCATCAAATATTTAAACACATACATAGAGTATTAAATATAGACTAAAAAATAACTAATTGTACAGTTTACGACTTATTTGCGAGACGAATCTTTTAAGCCTAATTAGTCCATGATTTGACAATGTTGTGCTACAGTAACACATATGTTAATGATAGATTAATTTAACTTAATAAATTCATCTCGTAAATTATCGACGAATTCTATAATTTATTTTTTATTAATACACGTGACAACCTAAGTTTTACCTCGGATTTAAAGAAGGCCTGAGGCATCTTTACAGGTTACAGCTCAGTGTGTGGGGGCAGTTTCTGATGATGGACAGTGATTTCGTACGTACACGCGGCGCGCATCGGTTCGGTACGAGGGACAATTATCATCCAGCCATGCATGCGTATACGTACAGATTTCGTAGACAAATCGCACCTTTCAGTACAGATGCGCCGGTCGGTCGAGATCTACATAGGTGGTGTCGCATTTTCAGATTCTGATATCTTTCTTTGTTAAACAGGACTAACAATGTATATTAATTGCTTGCTGATACCTTGAAAGTTGAAAGAGGGAAACCGCAGGTGAACAGCCTGTTCGGCCGGAGCTGAAACGATCGTATACGATCGTGGATTATTACTGTTGGTTGGTTTGGTGTGAGAGAAAAATACTGTTCTGGCTGGAAATTTACGATCGTTTACGACCAAGCGAACAGGCTGGAAGAATTGTGTGAATGGACGAATCACTATGCTTCTGAAAGTCTGATGAATGATGCGTGCACTTCGGTTTCTGAACTGTTCAGTGAAGAGCAATCAGCACAGATCCCGTTTCTCAGAGCCTTAAGCAACCACAAATGCAATTAGACCCAGTACGTACACCGTCCTGTTCTTTTCTTTCTGATGACACACGCATTGCCTCCGGAGATGTAAAAGGATACACATATACACTACTCACTGCTGTCCTGCATAGTTTGAGCTCCAGTAACTGCAGAGCGTCGGGGGAAAAGTTGGTCAGTTAAATTAGGTCCACTGGACACTGGTGGTAAATTTGGTAATACCAGAGTCCCTACAGCAGGGTACAGGCTACAGAGATTTAATTTAACCTTGTCTAACCACTGAGCCGTTGTTGCACGGCGGCTAGCTTGTACCTGAAAGGGGCTCGCAAACCAGATCGTGGCCCAGGAGTCTCCACGGACAGCCTGGATCGGCAACTCCTAGCTCTTAAGGCAGCTCCTCGTTTGGTCGCGCTAGGGCGGGCTCACCTCGATTCATCTCTGTGGTACAATGATCAGCTAGCCGCGCATTAGTGCTAGGTGGTGCGTGGTTCTCTTTCCCTTATGTCTGAATTGTTGTTGTAGAAAAATACTGTTCCGATTGAAAAAAATATATTGAATAGTGCGGATTATAAGGTAAGCCGAATAGGGCCTTTATTTAGATTTGAATTTGCCCTTTTGATTCGTGTAACGACCTGCAGTGTGTAAAACATGCATGGAGACGCCGAGGGGCGCTGATCTCTTGCATGCATTGAAAGGAAAGCAAAGTCATCTTTAATTTACTAATCATTTTCTCTCCTAACTACCCCGTTGTGATCGTTAGCCGCCTGTGACGGCATACTGTATAATGTATGCCTACGCCTCCAACGATCGATCGATTCGCGACCTCCATGCCACCGGCGACAATGCTGCTGCTACTTTCCAATGAAGAAATGCCTTATACACAGCCATTCGTGAAAGGAGCAGTGCCGCCAATTGATCGTCCGTGAGACACGTCGCTGATGTCCGAACGCAACAGCACGCTTGTGCACAGCCACCGACTTGTGTACATGTGGCGCGCATCGATGGAAGCAAACAATTCACAAAAAATAGCTGGGACTACTGGGATTGGCGACTCGCATTGTCGGTGGCATGGGGGCCGGCCTGCTCGGTCACCGCTAATCGGCCGGAATAATGAATACGCAGCTCCTCATAATAATAATTGGAGTCAATAAAAGCGGTGTCCCTTTTTCTGGACCAGTCGAACCGGCGGACGCGCAGTGATCGCGCGGAAGCTACCCATCGCATCGGTACCGAGAGCTAGCTGTTCGACAAGGCCGGGCCAACCGACCGCCGTGCGCCATAATCACCGTTCACCGGGGCGGGCATTGATGCGCGCGCGGCGGTGCCGGACGCGCTCGGGGCCCCCTCGCAAAGGCGGCAATAGTTGTAGAGAAGTGGGTTCGTCATCGAGCGGCAGGCTAGTAGGACGAGTCTTGGTTCCCGTTAGGTCTCAGACTCAGAAGTCTCCAACGGTCATCATCGGGGTTCGTCGAGCTGGATTGATGCTTGATCAATTGACAGCCTGTTCGGGAGGCCGTATCGTATCGTGCATTATTTACTGTTGGCTGGTTTGATGTGAGAGAAAAACACTGTTTTCGGCTGGAAATTTACGATCATTTACGAGCAAGCGAACAGGCTGTCATGAGTTATCCCACACCTCTCATCGAAAGCTCTGTGCTCACCGCTGAACCCGGGCAAATCTTGTCTGTCTCACGACGATGGGAGTGTGTGTGTGCGCGCGCGTGTGTGTTTTAACTTTTGCGAAATGCTCCAATACATGTGTTCCTGAAACAAGAAACAAATACTCCCCCGTCCATTACAAAAATTGCAATTCTCACATTTTAAGAAATGAAATAACTTAAATTTTAACCAAAGTTATATAAAATACTACTAACATATATGATACAAATATAAATATCATTAACTTATTATAAAATATATTCTTATTGTGGTGCATTCTAATGATTTTAGGATAGATTAAGACACAATTTAAAAGATGTATATGTCCTCGTTTTATTTTCTAATTAATCAGCATTTAATGCAAAATTGCTTTGTGTCCCTATAATGCCTTTATATTTTGGTATATTTTTTGAATTGTATATTTAGATACATAAATATACCACTCCCTCCATGTCCCTAAAGAAAGTCGTTTTGGACATCGACATGGTCTCAAAAACAACTTTCACTGCTACTTTTTGTTATAAAATACTTATAAAATATAGTTAATCTATACTTTTATATTCCCTCTGTCTCTGAAAGGATCAATTTCTAGCCTAAAAATTTGTCTCCAAAAGAATTGATTTTCGAAGGTGAATGGTCCATAGATCCACATTAATCTCTCTCGTAGTCTGGATCGCATTTAACACAACCTATCTCTCCTACGTTGCTATTAGATACTCCAAACGACGCTACTTAATTAGGCTCCTCGGTAATTAGAGAGCTATTAAGGTTCAATAGTTTAATAATGGGCAACATGGTCTTTTTATCTTCGTTGCTAATCTGTCCTAAGTCGCTAGGAATTCATTCTTTCAGAGGCAGAGGGAGTAAAACTACAATTCGAGATGAATCTACTTACATCGCTTTTATATTTTTTCAATCTCAACCCAAAAGAGTTTATTTGTAGTCAAAGCTTAAAATATTTGACTTAAGACAATTTCAAAACAATTTTTTTTACGAACATGGAGGGAGTATAAAGTTGATCAAAGTTAGGCCGTTTGACTTTAGCAAATTACATAGTTGCATTCGTTTATGGATGGAGGGAGTGCGCTATACTTGCACCTTGGAGACATATCGCAATTCTATTTAGGGCAGCAACAATGGTATTTTGGGCCCATCCGCTTCTGATTTCAGCACGGCCGTAGCTGCTGCGGCTGCAAATTTTATGCACGAAAATACAATCCACAGTTTGACTTGGTGCGGTTTTTAAGGTCTTTCATTGACCACTAATTTTTCCCATCATTTGTGACAAAAGTTTTTGACCATTAGAAATTATTCCTAAATATAAATCCAATTTTAATCTTTTTTGCACAAACTTTTCATATGATTAGACTAATGATCAATTAAAGACAATGAATTTCAAATCTCAAATATATGTGCATCTTTCATTTTAGGATAAAGGGAGAAATGATTTTTAAAAATTATTTGGGCTACTGCACATCTTAAATGCAAGGGCTCATTTTAAATTTTGCACCAGGGTCTTAAAATATTTGGATACGGCCGTGAATTCAGGTGTTTGCTCGCTAAACACGAGTCTGACTGTCTGAGAATAGGAATACCGTGAAAAAGAAAACATTTCCTCGTAGATGAGCTTGCGCGCATAGCGGCCCACGGCCCACGGCCCACGGCCCATGCGTCAGTCGCGTTCTTCAAGGCACTATCCCCAACCTCGCCGATTCAGTCTCCACACTCGCCGAGCGACACCGGGCGGGACGACAGAGCAAGCAGAGCATGCCTCCGTCGTGCCTGGGCGCATGCAGCGGTGGCGGACTAGCCCTCTCCGCCCCCCGCCGCCGCGCCCCCTCCTACTGCAGCGTCGCGCCCCATAGGGCTTCCGTCTCGTGCTCCGCCGCCGGCGGCAAGGCGTCGCCGCGGGGGAAGGACAACGTCTGGAGCGTCGATAACGACCGCGCCGCCAAGGAGGCGGTCCGGGGCCCCAAGCACCGCCGCAGGAGACGACCCAGCGGTCGCCGCCTGCCGCCGCCGAAGAGGAAGGGGAAGGATGCGGAGTCGAGGGTTCTAGTGTCTGGAGCCATGCTTGTGGAGGTCGAGACTGTGCTCCAAGCTCAGGTATTCAGGCTGCATCTATCGACCTGTCCAGGATATGTTACATGATTACAGAATTAAAGTTAAGGTGGATACGTGTGTTTCCAGCAGTAGTGTACTAATACCATTTTGGCGGATACGTGTCCTATTCATCCTGTGAAATCCAATCAGTTGCTTTAGTTATCCACATCAACTAACAGTTTAAAGTTAGTTTATTAGACTCTATACAGTGGCTGCGGCAAAGATACAAGAATTAATGGTTGGGTATTTCGTTGGTTAAGGCATTCTAATTAACACTAGTGCTGGTAGGGTTCATATAGTGATGAATGGTTGGGATTAATCTGGGGAGAACAGCATTCTCCCACCAGATTGTGTGCTTAATAAATTAACGTTTATTATTCCTACCATACCAATTTGGTGCAACCTTCTGAACTTAGTTTTCAATCGTAGGAACCTGTCATAAAGCCTTCTTGGGATACATTTGCAAGTAGTTTAAGTGGTAACTGGAAGGGTGTTGGAGCTGTCTTCTCGCCAATCACAGCAGAGATGGAGCCTGTTGGAGTTGGGAGCAAAGAAGAGTACCTTTATGACTGCTACACTCTTTCTCACATTGAGAGATCTTTTGATGGTGGTCATGGCTCTGAGATCCAAAGGAAGACAAATTGGGTCCCAATCAATCCTTTTGGTGAAGCTGAGAAGCAGATCACATCATATGACGGTGGGAGTCAAAGCACTTCCAGTGGGAAGGGAACTGCTAATTTACCTTCATATGAGTCTTTTGATCTTAACAGGAGTGCTGTGCTTGATGAAGAAACTTTTTCTATGGAGCCTGGAATTGTATTTTTTGAGGTAGGGTTCTTTTCTTTTCGCCTCCATTTTGGTGTTTATGAAATCTAATGATATGGTATATGCAAAACTTTCTTTGTATTTATTGCTAATTGAAAACCATAGCATATTTCTTACTTTCATCAATATCTTTTACTATGTTTTGCAAAATCAGGAATCTGTCACTTTTGTTCGCCACCAGCCTACCAGGATCTTTATTTTTCAAATTGTAATTTAGTATTATTTCTTCTTGCAAAGCTTGAGTAGTTAGATGGGCTTCTCTGTCAGAAAAACAAGCTAGTTGTGAAGTTAATGCCATAAAATTGTTAGAACTATTTAGACATTAAGCCTGGATTATCTATGTGCATTGAGAAGCTACATTTAGAAGCAAATCAATCTTCAGTGCGTTTCAGTGAAATTGATGCTTCTCATATCCATTCTTGTTCAATTTCTTTATTCTCTGGCCATTAATCTTCTCTGGTAAAGTGGGTTATTGTCACACTTATGTCTTCTTTTTTATGAATAATCCAGTACTTATTCCTTTGGCCATTGTGCTTACATTTTCAGGACGGATCATACTCTAGAGGTCCAGTTGATATAGCAATTGGTGAATACGATGAATCTAAATATTTCCTTTCACCAACATATAAGTTTGAGCAAGTATGTTTACTGCACTTAACTTTACATTTTCAATTTTCGCAGACAACATGCAAAAGGTCTTACTTGATTGATAAGAATGTTTGTTTCTATGTGCTAAGTAGAATAGGCTGTCTCTGTACATGCACATATCCATATTTGAACATCTTTTCTTTGAGAAAATTACAAGGTAGGTGTGTGTTATTGTTTCTTCTTCCTCTCTTTTACATGTGGATGCCATAACTTGGCCAGTTGTGCTTTTGCTGGATGGACCTTTGGCTGTCCAAGCAAACTACCATGAGAAACTATATAGTTTTGTATAACAAAATCGACTAGTATTGCCTACCCTAACTTGCTTGGGGCTTTAAGGCTCTGTTGTTGTAGAGGCAACTTGTATCATATTGAAATTTGAAACCATCTTTTGCAGATTTTCTTCCTTGCGATGTTGTGTTTCTTTACCTGTTACAGTCTTACAGAGAAAAAAAAATTCCTTTTGTGTGGTTTTGTTGCTCATAAGTATTTTTTCTGATGTGCAGTAAATGGGCCACTTCCAGGCAATGTTAATAATTTTTGCAATTGAATTACACACATGTAAATAAAATAGCAAATTCAACAGTTGTGTATTTACTTTGTAATAATAAGGAAAAAATCCTTCCAAACTTGGCTTACAGGGATATATGTGAATTATGTGTTATTAATGAACCAGTTGTTGCTGCAACTTTCAAGTTTGAACAATATTTGACTGTGATTCTTGCTTCTTGATCCTTAGTGCTGCATGTGGGTCTGGCACTCTGGTTTACCAATTGATAACTTATAACACCCATTTGTATACAGTGTCTTGTTAAAGGTTGCCACAATAGATTGCGGATTGTGCATACAATTGAGTTTAACGAAGGAGGAGCTAACATACAAATTGTAAGGGTTGCTGTGTATGAAGAAAAATGGGCCAGCCCAGCAAATATCCATTTTGAAGAGTAAGCCTGCTTAATTACAAAATTTTCCATCTGCTTTGCTAATAGATCTAGATTGGTGGGACCAATCCAGAAAGGATAAAGAATGCTATTATAGAGATCACTGTTTTAAAAAGATTCAATCATGGCTATTTAAAAACTTTATATTCACTTCATAGTGTGTTTACATTCTCCTATAAGGTTTGGTCTCACTCTTATTACCGATGAGCTACACTGTCTTTCAAAAGATGCTGACCTTGTATTTTGCATCAAAACCTTTGTGTCTATCAAATATGGCCCTCCACAAGTGGCACCAAAATTTTATTTTGTAGGTTTGGGGACTATACTCCTTTGGTTTTCCAGACCTCCAGTATGATTCCAAACTAGCACATCAGTTCACAGAAACTAAAATAGAAATTCAGGATCTTTTCTAGGTACAGTTTTCCTGTACTTCAATATTGAATGGTTGATTATTTGTGGTTTCAAACCTAATTCTTGGTTCACCAGTAACTGTGCACAGACCCTAACTACAAAAAAGAAACTGGAAGACCAAATATGAGCTGAGGAGCCATTTGACTTGATAACTCCAGAATTTCTCTGGGAGAGACATGAACAGCCATGTTTTTAAAAAGAAAAACAGAAATTGTTTTTTGTGGTCTGGTGTATAAAAAAAACACCTAGTTTTGAATAATATTGTCTCTACGAGTTTTCTAATGAACTGCATTTATCTCCTCTGCAGTGATACACTTGTTGACCTTAAACCATTCTCTCAAAGAAGCCGGACGAAACCATCGGAACTGACAGGCTCCTGGAAAGTATACGAAGTCAGTGCAACCCCAATTTTCAGTGATGAAATGCAAGAACTAGAAGGCGGTTCTCCTTTTGTCTACTTGTGCATGGAGACGGTGAAGAAGAGAACCCTGCCAGAGAGTTCAGTTTTCTTTGGGGAGGAGGAGATGCTCGACATGCAGGATGTCACCGTGCTTTGGTTACCTGGTGGCGTCACTGCTTATGTTGACATCAGTGAAGACGGCATACTCTGTATCGGAGTTGGGTGGTACTCAGAAGAAGGGATTAACCTGGTGATGGAGAGAGACTATGGAACCGATGGGAGGCTCAGGGAGGTTCGGTCGAAAACCGAATTAAAGCGCCTGTGGTGTCAATCAGTTCCATAATAACCCAAAGATTTTTTTTTTTAAAAAAAAGAATCTGCTTGGATTAATCTTTGTTTCTAAATAGCAATGTAGGATCAATATATGATACATCAAACCTGCCCGTTTGACAGGATTGATGTACTTCATAGCTAAGCTGTAAAAATTTGTTGCCTCTGTAGAATGTGGATGCTCTGGTTTCATCATCAATAAGAAAAGAAAAAAAAGCTTAAAAAGTTCATTTGCCGGAATGCATCTTGTTTCCAGCGTGCAGCATCATATTTTTTATTCTACAGCTATAGAATGACTCGTTCGTAATGATATATTTTGGCCACTTGCTGTGGAGTATGCTGATAGTTTTGGGGAAACCCACAATGCATGTCTGCATCTGATCTACTCCCTGTTCGTCTTATTTAAATTTTTTATGCAAATAACAAAATAAATAAATTATTATTAAAGTATCTCTAATAATAAAATAAGTTATAACAAAATAAATAATATTTATACAAAAATTTTGAATAAGATGAACGGTCAAACAAGAAGCTTACAAATAAAAAACGACAATTTCAATGGGACGGAGGGAGTAGATCTTGGCCCATTAGGTGACAAGATTGATGACCTTGATCTGTCTTAGACATCTTCTATTCGTCCTTGATAAACCGATTTATCTCTGAACATCATATTCTTCAGTGAAATTCAGATCTCGCTCTTCTTTTGGGGGTCAAACACGCCATTGCAACCTGAAGACATTCATCTGGATACCCCAGCTTCAGCTCCACCTTGCTTGAAACTTGAAAGTCTCTGGGAGACTGGCACTGGCTAGGAAAGGAACGTTGCTTTCTACGCCAAACGTTCTTTGGCGTCTCAAACTGGCCAAAGCCCCAGGCTGAAGCCTAGGACCGACGCAACGCAACCGCAATAATTCGCGCCACCATCGGGCGCCAAGCCAAACTAGAAGCGCCAAGTTGCCAGCCAAACGAACCACCTCGTGATCGATCCGCCCGTGGGATCTCGCGCACGCCAGGATTGGAAGAGCCGCGGCCTCCCTCCGCCCCAACCAGCCATGTGTTCCCGCGCGGATTGCGGCGCTTAGACGCGGAGGAGGAGAGAGACAGAGACAGGGGGAGGGGGAAGCGGAGGCCGAGGCCTTAGGAGGCGTGGTGCAGCGCGCGAGCGCGTTCGTTCGGCATGGAACAGAACGCCGGCTCGTTCCTCGCCGTGCGTCGCCTCTCCGGCGGCGCCATCCACCACCATCGCCACCACTCTTCGCCGGGTACGCGCGTGGCGCCGTCGTTTGGTCGCGCTGTTTGCCTTCGTGCAGAGGCTCACGGTTATGGTTTTACCCCTTCCTTTTTCGTGCGCCCGCAGCTGAGGTCGTGGGCGTGTCCACGGCGTGGCTCGGGAAGGGGCTTTCGTGCGTCTGCGCGCAGAGGAGGGAGAGCGACGCGCGCCTCTCCTTCGATTTGAGTCCCATTCAGGTAAAAGCTCGCTCTCATTCCGTTCTTTTATTGTTTATATCTCTTCGATACAGGGCGTTAGCAACGTCTCTGTTTTTCTCCGTCACCCTGTGGCATGTGATCATTCTGAAATATGAATGATGAGTCCTCCCCTGAAAGTTTAAATATGAACTGGCAATATTGTTATGGGAACACACAGGGGGGACTGTTTGAGTCTGATAGGAGCGATTGTGGAAACCGTACTGTCTTAAGCGCAATGCATGTTTAGTATTGTGATTCACCCAGCAGCAGGAAAACTGTGTCATGTAACTGCAATGGCTTCGACAGGGATGGTCTTTTGTGATTGCTTCGTGTGTTCTCCAATTCATAGGACGATGAAAAATTCTTGCTCTCGTTTTGTTTCACAATGTAGTAGCTTATATGTCGATGCAGGGGTTAGAGACATTTTCTTTCTTCCTTGTGGACTGATTTCTGAGAAAAGAAACTGAGATATTAAATTTTATCAAGAGCAATGAGGATGCAAACATATAGAGAAATTTTCATTCCTTGTGCTTATTTTGCGATAATGGAAACATGAAGTAGTGTCATGTCATGTCATTGTAGCATTGATGGCTTTGACACAGGGTATCTTTTTGTGATTAACATTGTGTGCCATTGCCTCCATTATGTATTAAAATTCATGGGGTAATGAAAGTTCCTAAATAAACATCTATGGGTTATTCTCCTCTGTTCCAGGAAGAGTGCTTGCATAGGTTGCAGAACCGGATAGAGGTGCAGTATGATGGTTCAAATCTAGAGCATCAGGTACGAGCTTTAGCTGATATCAGCACCTTGTTAGCGTGCAACATCATACTGGACATTTGTTCTTTGTTACCGTTGGTGCTGTGATGAACTTTGGATTTTTCAAATTCAAGATGACTCTGGCATGCCATAACATGTGTTGGTATACTTGACATTACAGTTGCATGCACATGATTGGGTTCAGGGAAGAGAGGGAGGGAGGGGGGGACTAAGATTTACCACGTGATTGAGGGCACTTGCATATTTCAATCCATCATTTTAATTAGACACACGTTATTTTTTTAAAGGAGGACAGAACTCCTCAAGTTAGCCAATTGATACAATTGTACAACAGTTATATGCTTTGCTTATGAATTCTTACCGTTGTCAGTAATAATATGATCTGGTGCTACTGGGCCCTAAGAACTAAAAATATCTGAATAATTTCAGCTTCATATGGGAATCTAGAGCATGTGTTCCCATCTCCCTTTCGTGAGTTCTATCTATTTTGGGTTATTTACTGACACATATATCCATTAGAAAGCACTGGAAGCCCTTTGGCGTGCTTCTTTTCCTGGAACTGAACTTCTAGGATTAGTATCAGACCAGTGGAAGGAGATGGGATGGCAAGGGAAAGATCCATCTACAGATTTCAGGTCTTTCATCCCTTCTTCATTCCAACATTCTCTCAAAAAAAACATTTGCAGTTTAGCAAACCATTCATTTGATATATATATTTGGAATGTGTAATCATATGTTCTGTTGGACTTACAGGGGTGGTGGTTTTATATCTTTGGAGAATTTACTGTATTTCTCTAGGAACTATCCAGTGAGTACAAATTACTTGACCCAACTGCCTTTTATTTTTATTTACTTGACCCAACTCAACATTTCTGTAATGCTGGATTGTGCCTCTGATATAGCGTTAATTGCTATTCATTGAGCTTGAACTTGAAAGGATCTGCTGGTCGATAATTCAAGCATTGTATACGTCATTAGTCTGATTCTTTGTAGGAACTACCCGCCTTGGATTTTTCACTGAAACTCTGCCTCCGTACCTCTTGTAGTCTTGTGGCAATTGAACAGGCAATGATCCATTGAGGATTTCATTAAATAGAGAAAGTAGGCTGATCAATAATTCATCTTGTAGACCCTGTAAAGGTCTAAGATTTATCCAGCTATGGTGCATTATATAATCAGAAAAAACAATTGAAAATCCAATTACTACCACTACATTGAACTGGATCTTTTCAAATTGGGCCCCCCTAATTCAGCTCAGTGAGCCTTTTTCTCTGCAGAAATCCTTCCAGGAGCTCCTTTGTAAGAAGAATGGTGATAGAGCATTGTGGGAATATCCCTTTGCTGTAGCTGGTGTAAATATTACATTCATGCTAATTCAGATGCTTGATCTTCAAGCAAGTTCGTCTTCGAACTTTTCAGCATTTATTATTAAGTTGATCTGAACTGTGAAACTAGTTTGGCAATCGCCATTAACAATGAGAATTACTTTGACTGATGTTAATTAATGTCTCTGCAGCTAAGCCAACGTCGTTGATTGGAGCAGTTTTCCTAAATCTACTCTTTGGTAAGTTGTTCAACATTTGTGTAGGACTGAAATCTTACAGAACTGATATAATTTAGGCTTTTTCCAAAAAGGCCTTTCAGCCTCTGACTTAGCTGAATAGTTTGTGCTTCTCGTTATAGCTGTATACTTCTATCTTTGGAGGTCTTCAATGAGCCTAGTTGACTTGACCAGTTGCGTCTAACGAGCATGTTTTCTTAGAAACAACTGCAGCTAAATAAGGCCAGTTGAAATTTTTACAACTGCTCTAAATAAACTCATAGCATAATGATTAACACCTGCGTGAGAGCCTCTAATAGAGATATTATTAGCTTTCAAAAAAAGCTGAGTAAGGGCAATCATGTCTTCACATCTGACAGTTGTTTCCTGTTCAGAAAATGATCGAGCGTTTGACATTCTTTACTGCATAACCTTCAAACTGATGGATCAGAAATGGCTTGAAATGCACGCCAGTTACATGGATTTCAATGTACGTCTTTCCTTTCTCATATGCAATCTTTCGGACACGTTCTTTGTACCAAGCACCTTCCTTGCTTGACCAAATCGCGGAACTCACGCTGCAGACGGTTATTAAATCTACACGGCGCCAGCTCGAGAGGGAGCTGTTGCTAGAAGACATCCAGAGAATCGAGGACATGCCATCATACAGGTTTCTCACCTGCTAGCAATTGAACTTGGTCATACCTAACATCGCCACAAGATAGTGCAGCTCCATACACTCGAAGATGTTGCGACGTTGGAACCACGTATACCATGGTGGGGCGATCTAGGATCATGGACTGTGGGCTTTGTATTGTCGTGTTTACCTACTTGACAACGACCTCAACGCTGAGTGCCTTTTCGTTTGAACGATGTGCCTATGGCTACATCTTGGTGCCATCGAACGGCAGATCCTAGCTTTGTTGTAAACAGGAGGGTCGTGGAAAGTTGTCTGCATATGCTTTGTGGCCATGTGCGTGGATGATCTGCTGCCGCTTCCAAAAAAAAAAGGCCGATCTTAAGACTGATTCTGGTCTTATACGGCATATTCGCTGGTTGGTTTCTGGACTGGTTTGGCTGGCTGGTGCTGGTTTATTGTGAGAGAAAAACACTGTTGACTGGTTGGTTTGAGCTGGCTGCAACCAACAAGCGAACAGGGTAGTCATTTGAGTTGGGCTCGGTATCTTTTTTTTTTAGCAACAGGGCTCGGTATCTTGTATGGAGCCCATAACGGACGCAGACATCGTTGTTAATTTCGGCCTAGTAGCCTTATTGACCCGGTCGATCCTGATTAGCTTGGGATAGGTGTAATAGTTGAAACTTCACTGCAGAATGAAGTCCTGTTCCAAATCCAAAGGGGGAAAAAAGGAGCTGCACTGGAACCATTTGGTAGCACTCCGACTGCATCACTCTATGCCTTCGTCTCAATTTACATGTGTTGAAATGGATTGAAGTGGAATTAAACTAAATTTCATTCAATTCCACTTTAACATATGTGGATTGAGATGAATACACATGCATCAAACAAGGCCCACGCGGGAAGCTGTGAAACACTACTAAAGCTATTTTCCCCTAGCTAAGCTTTACCCTCAAATCGATTCGTGTATTCAGGAGGTGTGCTTAGACACGGTCGTGAAAAGAAGACGTGTGGAGTGTGGAGAAAAACATACTCGTATGATTTATTTCTTCTGATTCGCCCCTAGCTCTCCGCCGATCCTCTACATTGCGCGCCATGTCCAGGACAACGTGCCTAGAGAATTTAGAAAGAAATTTTCTTGCTCTCAACTCACCCGTCCCATTCTCCAGCAGCATGCATCCAAGAAGCTCGACGGGTCGACGCTTGAGTTTTCATCCCTTTATTATTTTAATTGTTCATTCAGAATCTCAGTGGGCTATCATGCCCAGAGTCGTGTCAGTGTCGTCGCACCCAGGCCGTCGCGTCGGCGATCAGTGTAGGAGTACGCTTGCCTGATTTTCGCTTGCTTTCGGGCCTCCTCGGTCCTCGCCAGTCAGGAGTCGACAGGCTAGGCGAAGGGAGAAGGGATAAAATACTCGCATCAGCAGAAGATGGGGCTCGGTCCAGGCATCAAAGATCGGATGGGATCCTGGCATCACATCATGACGGGCGTGCTACTAGATCAGATGTCACGCTCTCCCTTGCACAGTATCCGCCGCTCCTAAGGTCCGTTCGGTTGATCAGGAATGCACCGGAATTATTCCAACTGCTCAAAACTTATATAAATTTGACGATCAATTCAGCCAGAAACGAATCCAGGGCAGGATTAACTGCTAACCGAACGAGCCCTAAGGTAGGCCAAGGACGCAAGGAACATTAGGGCTGGAGACGTGTTGTTTAAGAATTTTTTTAATTAAATAATGACTAATGTTTCAACCTTTATTAATTTTGAGAAAAATGGACTACCTCTATACACAAAAGAATATAATTATGGGATCCATGCTGGTCAATCTAGCCCAAGTTTGACTAAGTTTACAGTAATAGTATTAGTATTTATGTGTCCAAATAAATTTATTATAAAAATATATTCTATAACTAATCTAATGGCACATATTTTATATCATAAATGCTAGTACTTTTTATATAAATTTAGTCAAAGTTCAAACGGCTTGACTTCTCAAAAACGAGAATTGCATTCTTTTGTGGACGGAGAGAGTACGTAAAGCATCTGTGGTTACTTTTGTCAACTTACTTCATAGAGGTTGTTATATGATAGGATATGCTTGCATTGCATGTATGTGAATATCTGCATCTGTATTATAGTAAAAAAAATCCATAGTTGTCATGATAATTTTATGCTAAAAGAAACAAAAGAAGATAGTACTCTATCTGTCTTGAAAAGAATATCATTCTATTATAGCATTGAGTCAAACTACTTTTAGTTTAACCTAGTTTATATAAAAAGTATCAATGTTTATGATATCAGATAAGTGTCAACAGATTCGTCATGAAAAAATATTTTTATAGTAAACCTATTTGGTGACATAGAGGTTGATGTTATTTTCAATAAATTTGATGAAATCTTAGATAATTTAACTATGGACAACAGATTCGTTCATGAAATATATTTTTTTAGTTAACATATTTGGCGACGTTGATATTGATGTGATTTTCTTTAAATTTGATGAGATCTTAGATAATTTAACTATGTAGAAATAGAAAATTGCATCTTTTTTAGATGGAGGAGTAGTGCTCCTACATAATATAGGTGTCGGAGTAATATATATATACCGGGGATTAAGAACTCCAATTAATAATGCACTCAACCACTCTCGCCGTATTGCACGTAGGGGAGCTGTTGGTCAGACCACAGCACACCCGTTCTAGTGCAAGGCCTTTTTAGATTGCAAGTTTTTTCACTTTCTCTCTATCACATCAAATCTTTGGACACATATATAGAGTATTAAATGTAGATAAAAAAATAACTAATTACACAGTTTGATTATAAATTACAAGACGAATCTTTTGAACCTAGTTAAATTATGATTAGACAATAATTATCAAATACAAACAAAAATATTACAGTGTTAAATACTAATTCCTAACCCCAACCTAAACCAGCCCCCAGCTGCAAGGTGCCGGTGCAAAGCATCGGAGCAGGACGCCAAATTCCCAATCAAACGCGACACAGGCAACCGTTCGAGCACAAGGACTAGGAGAAGCACCTACTCGTACCACAGTGCTCCTACTACCGTAGCTGCGCACTGGCGACACGAGAGGCATCATGATGAGAAATCTTGGGCGCTGGATTTTCTTCCGTCATCCTGGCCGATTCCCTCCTTTTTTCTTTCTTTCTTTCCCAACGCAAAGTGCGCAGTCGAGCAGCAGCCAGCAGGGGCAGGCAGTCGGGCAGGGCTCGGCCTCGGCTCGTCCTCTTGTCCCGGCCTGGGGGCTCGCCGGTCCGGGGACGGATACACACGCAGCCATGCATGCAGGTGAAGGGGATCTGTCACCTACAGTACGAGGCTACGGGCTACGGCGACCTTCCTGCGACCGTGTCACAAATGGAATAAAACGTAGGCCGCCTACCAGGCTACTACTAGGACCGACGGGTGATGGACAAGAGAGACAGCGGCGTGCGACAAAACGCCAAACGATTCGGGCTGGACCGAGGAGCAGGACGTCGTCCCGGCGCAAGGCAACGACGATCCAGCCACGCGCGCGACCGGACCGGACCGGGCCGGGCGGCGGCGGGTGCTGGAAGGAACACCGTGCACATGGCCCGTGCCCGGCTTCGATTTGACAATGCATCGGTCGCTGCCGGCGCGTGGAGCCGCGGTGCCGACTGCCGGGGGTGGACGGGCCGCCGGAACCCGGAAGAGAGGGCACGCGCGTCAGGACGGGGCAAGCCGCGTGTGCCGTGGGCGTGTGTACCACTGTTGCGTGCGTGCGTGCGGGGTGCCCGCTTGGGTTCGTGTCCCCCGGCGGAATGATGCTGTTCCTGCCGCGGCCGCGACCGGTGGTGGGGGCGCCGAAAGCCTGCGACCGCGGCGCCCACATCTAAGCCATCACCGCCACCGCTGGTACAAAAGGCTACCGCCTGCATGCACGTACGGCGGCACACGGGCTGGTGGTCGCTTCCCCATTCCAAGGACAAGGAGAGGCTGTGACGGCGGCGGAGAGATCACAGATGAGACGATCAGATGCCCATCAGTATCAACCTTGGTCTCTTGCGGCAAAAACGCAAATGCCAATCGTAGGGACGACGCTGGCACAAGACACAATCTTGAGGCATGCATTTCCTGGTAGACGGCGCACGATAATCTTGTGGCCGTAGATAGTCACGCACGCCGAGTGAAAAAAACAGAGACGGCGCGCGATGCCGCGGACGGAAAAACATCCCTGATGAGCCCTGCTCGCGCGCGGTGTCTCGCTCGGAGCAGAATATAATTAGCACAAAGGGCCAAATCACCATCATAGGAGAGAGATGGAAGTAGATGGGCCGCGTCATGATAGTCTGACCTTAGGCCGGTCGAGCGTGAATAAACGAGCGGTGGTGGAACCTGGAAAGCCAATTTGGAGGCATTCGAATGGCTCATGATTCACCTCAGAGATTGATAGCCA